AAGGGAAACATCAGTGTTGCTACTTCACTGTACTGATACTTCATTAATCCATCTATTCCTGCTCATCAACCACTCTAATGAGCAGGAAATCCAGCAGGCCAATGCCATTACATTTCTATTTGCAAAGCTGCGGTCCCACTCACAGACCCAATTCATATGAATGCAAAACAGAGCTGACCATGGTTTCCAGTGAAGCTAAACATGCTGCTGATTAAGGTGGTGCAATATGGCAAAAACATGAGCCAGCAACAAGAAGGTTGTGGGTTCAAAACTCAAGACTGAGTCCTTGGACAAGATAAAAGCCTGGACAGAGTGAGGCAGCAAAATGATAGGTTTCTCCCGGTACAATAAATAAAGGATAACATATGATGCTTTAAGACATTTTCTTTATATTCCTGTCACAAAATTCTGTTTTTCAGAGGTTGGAATGGACAATATCGTTACTGTCCCCCACTGACAGGAAAAGGAAAAGAACATTCATAACTTTTAATGGAAGTTACTGTACAGGGAGTTCATTCCAGTTAATTTCATGGCATTTCTTTTAGTCCATTCATCATGAAAGTTTCATACAATGTAAAGGACAGCTGCTGTGTTCAAATGATGTAGAAAAATAATTTAAAAAATACTGGAGATACATTTTTTCTTTGTTTTTTTCCAGCGATGATATGCAGAAGCAAAACAGCAGTGCCTTAAAAAATGCTACCAAAAATGCTTAGAATACATATCACTGTTGTCGGAAGAAAAATCTCCAAAATGAATAACTTTACAGGATAGGGAATAAACCTACTTTACTTTTAATATAAGTCAATGGAACAAGACCCCCCTGCCCCAAGTAATTATGGGTCATTTCTTTTAGTACATTCATCATGAAATTTACATACAATGTAAAGGGAAACAGGTATTTTCAAATAATGGAGATACAATGTCTTTCTCCGACAACAGCGATATGCTTTTCAGTTGTATTTACAGAAAAAATGAATTAAAAAGGAACAGGAACAATAAAAACGAACAGCTTGTAAAAATACACTAGTAAAATAAGATAATGTTATAATGGGCTGACAACCCATCAGCTACTTGTTGCTATGCAGCTTTTGCAGTGTCTGGGTACTGATTGTTGTTTACAGGCTCTCTAATTAGTCTAAATCTATGTTTATGACTTTTTTAATGCCTTTTTTTCTGTCTGTGTTTAAGATTCAGAAAACCTTTCCTAACCTCCATGTCTCTCCTCATCTGCTCCAGCTGAGCTTCTAGCACCTCGTTCCTCTCCAGCAGGGCCTGGCCCACTTCAGCCGCCAGGATCAGGTCCTTCTCCAGCATGGTGGTGCTGCTGTCGCCCTCGGGGGAGGCCAATAAGTCATTTGGCCTGACGCCTCGGCCCATGATGCGATGCCTGGAGGGTGTTGATGAGGAGAAGGGGAAGAAAGAGTCCTCCAGGCTGGGAGAGGGGAGGCTCTCTTTCCTGGTTGAAATCATTCGTGCTTTGTGTTTGTTTCACGCTGGTTTGGTACCCCCAAGGCCTTCCTCGCTGTTTCTGGTCATCCGGTTATCAGATGTAATCCCATCCTCAGCTTTCAGGGGCAAAGAGTGAGGCCCTCATCTTGTATCTGAATTAGGTTAGCAGGTCAAAATCTGAACATATGAAAGCGAGCAAAAAACAGAAGTAAGAAGGCAGTCAGCCCAGAACACAGCAGAATATGACCAGAGTGACAGGAAAAGTTTGTGGCTCATATCGATATCAATTTTAAGGGGCTAAAATTTGGCCTATGCAGTTTTAGATTTACATTATAGACGTTAGGTTTGGGTACATTTTACAGCAAACTTTTATAGCAAATTTTATTTTTCTTATTTTAGCCATGATGGGGTTTTGTTTTGTCAAAATGTACCAGCTCAGCCTGTATTGTTATGACACACACCTTTAAAATAGGTGGTTCTTCGAGGATTCTTTAGAAAAGGCAATGATTATTAGCGTGGCTGTCCAAAAAAACCTTGTGTCTCCATTTTTGTTAATTTTACATTTTCTGCATTATTTGAATACAGCAGCTCTTCTTTACATTGTGTGAAAATATCATGATGAATCCAAAATCACCTGGATTCACCTGAAATAAAACTTGTATTAAAGTTAAGAAAGTTGTCTTTTCTTGTGAATTTACTGTTTTGGGGATACATGTTCTCTGGACAGCAACGATACAAGACCACGACAGCCCAAAGAACCATCTAAATGAGTAAAGATGGAGAAAGTGTTGTATATGGTTCTTTGAAATACCTTAGAAAATAAAAATGGTTCTATATAGCACCAAAAGAGTTCCACTATCAACTTTTTTGGCAGTATATAGAATGGTTTAAGCCAACAACTGAGTAAAGTTATACAGGAGGAAAACAAATTAATTATCACTGTCAAAAATGATAAATCCATGGGTCATCAGTATCAGCCAATATTATCAGCTAACTGATACTGGCAGCCTCTAAATCAATCAATTTTATTTGCCATATACATTAACCAGGGTCAGGTATTAACCAAGTGTCAGGGGCAAAAAAGCCCCTAAAAGGTACAAAGAAGAAGAAGAAGAAGAAGAAGAAGAAGAAGAAGAAGAAGAAGAAGAAGAAGACGACGACGACTATTAGGAATCTTGAGGGTTGATCACAACATTTGAACACATCCATATGCTGCACCTTCAATCTACAATCCAAAATATAATCCACATATCTTAGGTTAAATTTAGCAGCTGTATGGCAATTAGACTGTACATGAATATAAACAGGCAAAGTGCCTGAAATGAGATGCTACTGGCAAGTCAAAGAGATGCTACACATAACTGTGAACAAACTGAAGTGTACTGGTAGCTAATTGGCTCAGATTTCTCAGATCTACGCTGTCCTGAAAAAGCTAACCCAGAAAACAGGCCAAGAAAGATAATATACTTCAGCCTCAGAGCATTTCTATTGTTGTCTGTGAGCTCCTTTTGTGGAAGGGACCAAAATAACAAGAGCTGTAGTGTTTCCCACATTCCACGAGTCATTTAAGTCTCCTCAGTGACCAGCTACACCCCTGCATGTCTGCCAGACTGGTTTTCTGTTCCTGTGATCGTGCATGACTGGGCTTGCTCAATCTAAAGTCACTGCTAATGAACCTGTTAAGGGCTAGGCTAAACGGCCATTTCTCAGCTGGCCAATGTAACACCTGTAAAAGTCCAGGATGAGTCCAGGCTAGTTCCCTCTTCTCCTGTTGATCAAGGAAGCAAGCTATGGCAGCTATCATGAACTAGTTGTGCTTTAAACCAGCACCTGTTTGGCTAAAGTGCAGCAAAGTTTGTTCAGCTTCTTGTTCAAATCAAACATTTAAGCCAGAATACAAAACAATTTGTCCTTATCAGGTGAACTAGTTGTAGCTTAATATTCTACAATAACTTCTAAGGTGTTAGCCTTACCAGTACTGGACACATATTGGTACACATGTTCATGATCAAGGTGTAACATCTGCAGTCAAATTCTATAATTTCATCAAATGTTGTAGTTTGATACTTGGAAAAAAACAGATCTACTGCCAACTCAGCCTTGTTTTTCTTACCTGGGAAGTTCCTGCTTGGCTCCCAGCATGAATGGCACCAGGGAAGCACTGCTGGTTTCCTTGGAGCCTGTGAGCCAATGTTCAGCAGTTAATGGCCGTGCTACACCCACCACTGATGACCTCAGCAGATGGGAGGGGTCGAAAGATTTCATGCAAATGTGGTGGGAAGGTGCTTCACACAGGTGACGAAGGTAATACAAAAGCCTTTCAGGTGAGGTCGCTTGAGAAAACCACACTGTAAAACCATGAATGGCCCCATTATTCTTGGTTCTTACCCAAGTTCTTGGCCGAAATCAACCACAGTAGAGCTGGATTGACATTTTCTGCCTGTATGTTTTTATTACATACACAACAAAAAGCTGTGCATTAGTCTGCTGCCAAAAACTGGCAACATTTGAGCCAGAGAATCAAATGTATGTGACTGTCAGGTGAGCATATTCTTTAGATGTGAAGAAAGAACTGACCTATGGTAAAAAAAAACAAAAGACAACAACAACAACAACAACAACAAAAAACACAACAATAACAGAACACAACTTATTCCAGCTTCTTATTAAATTTTTATTTTTCCGTTCCACCTTAAATGGTGCAGCAGCCACATTCTGGCGCCTACAGAATGTACAATACAAATGCCAGAATTTAAGGTGGAATGTAAAATTGTCAAAGAAGCTAATTTAAGCTTTATTACAAAAGCCTTTCTTTATGGGTTGATATCACAGTGTCAAGGATCCTAATGGTGTATCAGGTGTACTGGGACTACAGATTCTTCCCAGATATGTTTGATTTTCTGGTTTCCTGAAGGGATCCAAAGGAGGAAACTAGTGGTGTCTAATGTTAACCATTAAGCCAATTTCCAATACAAAGCAAGGTTTATCTATTAATTAGTAAATCCTAATGTCTTTTTTCCATAGGGCAGGCAAACATGCTCATTTCTGCCACCTTGTGGTTGTGGCAAAATTCTTCTGTAGCTTAAACAGAGACATTTCTGGAAATAACCGCCAAATACTACAGTTTCAAAGAAACTTTAATCCGTGCTCAAAGATTCAGAGTCATTTGTTACATTTCTTAGCATCACTGGCGATGTCATTCATAAGTAGACTCAACTAAAACGTGTCCAGAGAAACCACAGTAGCTCCCTTGAGGAGCTCAGCCTGTTTGTTGATTTTCTGCTCTGTGAGAAGATGGCTTGTTCAACCCCTGGCATGGTCTCCAGACTCTGTAACTAGGTGTAGACGTAGCCAACGTAGCCTTGTAGCTTCCTCTGGAAACAGTAGCATGAGTGTGAGTTGGTGTTGGGTCAGCAAAGGTCAAGCTCGTCCACACAAGCAGCAGTCTGTGCAACTCACCTTGCCACTTCCTGTTTTCCGCCTCACATATTTTCCCTCCAAAAGGAACTGAATAAGACTAGTGATGTTGCTCCAAATGCTGGACTCAAGCTCACTCCTCCGGAGCAAACTTCAATAGTTAAAATGACCGGTAAGGAAGATACTTTCATATGACGACATGCTGGAAACATGGCGTTGTAAACAGAGGTAGATAAGATAAGAGACAGATAAAAAAGATTTATTGTGTGACATAACATACAGTCAATCCCAGGTGTGACCAAATAGCCACAACAAAAACTGCCCGAACACATCAATGCAGTGCCTTGTTTTCCATATGATTCAATAACTATGGGAGTTAAAGGAGCATTCTGGTCTACAACTAACATTTCATATGTTATTTATTGTGTCATATAGTATTCTGTAGTGCATCATTGCACCCAAGGGCTTATCAGTGTGATAGAAATGAATTATTTCATATATTTTTTTCTGTTTCAGTCCATTAGTGTTCTCTCACTACAATACCCAGCATGCATTGCACAGACACATGACACAACCTTTGGGAAACCCTAAAATGATCCACAAATCCTACCTACTCCGACTGAAGGCTAATGAATGCATGAATTGCTAGCTAGCATTAGCTATATAGTGCTAACCTCAGTTGGTCCCCAAACTTTTTTTTTCTTTGTTAAAGGGATCATTTATTTGTAGAATTAGCCAGCTAGCAAAAAATGTATCCAGTCTAAAGCACTTTAAAAATCTTGGAAAATTTACGTCTACCTTTTAAGATTGTTCATCAGACGGGTGTTTTTTGAAAGTTTTTTCTTTCCAGTCCACATATTGTCCACAAAAAAAACAAACAAACAACAACAACAAGATCAAAGCATGTGTCTTTAAGACAAAAACGTTCTTTACATTTAATGCAAGTCAATGTAACAATATTTTATTCCAAGTAATATGAATTTTTCACAGACTATAAATGACAGTTGCTGTGGTCAAATGATGTAAAAATAAATAAGTGAAGATTTTGTTTTAGACAGCAACGATGTTTAAGCTAAGCTGCAAAAAGCAGCCCATTTTAATTTAATCTTTATTGTGAATTAGTGTAAAATGTGTAAATGCCCACATTTATATATGCCCACTCATTCAGCCTACAGCAGTTAAACCACCCATAAAAGCTGAAGTGATATGAACGGTTGTTACTGCAGACCGTGAAAGATGTGGGGATAAGTTTTAGTCCAAACTTAAATTAGGACTGTTTTTGGTACCTAAAACCAAACGATTGTAAGTGTCACTTGAGAGGGGAAACAACAGAATACTAACTAAATGTACAGTATTGGCACTTCAAGCATAATCAAAATGGATCAGGCCTCCTACTCCTGCTGCCCTACTAGGGAATCATTTTTTTTCAGAAGAACTTGGCCATTAGTCCACACTGTGGGAGAGAAGTGGGGGCAGGGCCACAACTAAAGCCCCTCCTCCGCCTGCAGACTTCACTCAGCCAGACCTTTCAAACTGAATTGAACTGCAGATCATGGCAATGGAGGGACGCTACGCTAACTGGCCGCTGATCCTGGTGCTGTGTGGCCTGCTGCCATTAGACGTGCAAGCTGGCAGGCAGATGCCCAAACTTTCTGACAAGAAGCTGTGCGCCGATGCAGAATGCAGCCGTGAGTAACAGTGTATATTCACTGTACAAAGGTTTTTAAAGGCATTATGTATGGAAACGTTGTTTATAAGGACAGAAATGCTATGTTGTATTATACATTAATGTTTTTGTTTGTAAGTAAAACTAATGTTACATTTCCTTACAGCATAACCCACCATGCTGGTGTATTAAAGCGTTAGTTCAGAAAAAATCTGATTTCCCTTTACTACAAATGTCCATCAGCCAATACGTCTGATATAAGTTTTTCTTCCTTTATTTTTTTTTTACACTTGATCTACAATGCTAAAGTAGCTAACCAGCACTGGAAGCTTATGTCCCACCGATTAGCCACAGCCAACCAGGGCTGAAAGTCCAAGAGAGCATAATTGTCCTTGTTCTCTCTGGGTGGGTCAAATGGTCCTCCCTTTGTCCCACCATCAACATAGCATTACCATAACAGAACTGGCAGTTAGTGTTCTCCTCCAAGTGTGCTGAGCTGAGATGTGCTGGCGCTTCATGTGAGGAAGCATGTGCTGGCCTTCACCAGCTTGGTAGCATCGTGTGATAGCAGGAGAACATAGAAATCAGACTGTTCACTGAACTACTGCTTCATACCTAATATACGCCTTTGTCTTCAGATCCTATCCTCATTGCTAGAGCCCTCCAGGATTACTATCCCCAAGATTGTCGCTTCATTCCTATCCGCCAAGGCCAGCTCGTCTATGTGTATGCCATGCTGAAGGACCAGGGAAACCTCTTTTGGGCAGGCAGTGTGAGTATCATAACACCAGCTGAGGGAGGATGCTCTTTTTCTTTACAGAAACTTATTTACGGTGTTTTAATCAGGCCAAAGCGACCTGATTAAAGACTGATTATAGCTGCCATTACATCAGGTACACCCACCAAATGTGTGCACTTTGTAGCCAATTACTGACTGTAGCTCAGCCTCCATCTGCCCCTTCTGTCTTCAGAAAGGGACCATGATGAGACCACCACTGACTAGATATTATTTGGGTGGTGGACAATTCTCAACACAGTAGTGACAAAATTTCTACATAATTAAATGGATAAGATGTAAACAAAGTCATTCAGAGTGGTCTGATGTGAAATGCTGTGTTCTAGAAAAACTTACCAAGTACGAATTATTTGCAGTGGTGGTGATAGGAACCAGACGTCTGAAGTCTTTAATGTCTCTGCTACTTCACAGAAAGTTATTACATTAAATGCCTGATCCCCAAAACATTGTTTTACGATAGTTCTGAGATAAAGTTTTGGCCTAAAACATATTTTTAAAAAGCCGTTAATGGCAGAGAGAGGGACATGCAGGACTTTGTAAGGCACATGTGTCAGGCTCCAGTCCTCGTGGGCCAAAACACTGCAGACTTCAGCTCACTGCCTCATCAAACACACCTGATTCAGCTCATCAGTTAATTAGCAAGGCCTTCATGAACTGAATTCAGAACGTTAAATGAGGGTAAACACTAATCTCCGCAGCAGTTTGGCCCGTAAGGTCACCAGTTTGACATGCCTGTTTTAAGGCAAAATAGTCTCCAAAGAAAATGCATGTATTCTGGTTTGACCACTATTTTACTGTTATCAACATCGCATAAAAACTCATGTGTAGGTTGTCATTTTGTGAAAGTAAATAAAATGGCTGTATTTATGTTGTAGACATTCCCTTTTAATGTGTTTATGAGTGCTTGATGGCAGCCCATGCAAGATGTGTCCCTTTTGATCGAGGATGTTTCTGGGTACAGGTCCAGGGGTCCTACTACAGTGAGCAGGAGGCCCGGCTAGGCCACTTCCCCAGCAGCGTTGTTGAAGAGACCCATGCTTTAATGCCTGCTGAAGTTGTGGTCCCAACGGATGTGAGTGTTGAAAGCTTTTCAGTACTTTCACTATGTTTTGAACGCTGCACAAAAATGATATGCTAATACTTACATGAAAATGCAATATGGCTTTTATTACTGCAGAAATGGGATTTCTACTGTCACTGAGACTCCGACACCATTCAAGGCGAGATTCACCCGTGAACCAGTGAACATGGCTGCATCCTTCACTTGCACTTTACATGATCTGCTGTAGGTCTTCTAGCAAGCAATGCAACCCATCATACAGGCCATTTGGTCAGCAAGAATGCATTCACTCACAGACTCACATAAAATAAACAAATGAAACAGCTTAGCACAGAAAGTAGGTAAAAAATAGTGTTCTTATACTGTTTAGTGTTCAATAAACTTGAGCTGCTATTAAAAGGCTCCTGATTGTTTTTTGTATCTTTCAGCTATTGCATTTAAATGTGAATAGAGTCCTCTAAAGGTAGAGTTAATGTTAATAAACCAACTAATGTTTCTCAGCCTTCTCCATAACTGGATCTGTTCAGTGTTGTCCTTGCTAGACAGACCAGCATAGACTCGTATAGATGGTCACTAGCAAAACCAACATATCGTTGGTGATGGAGCAAAACCTCCAAAATAGTACATTTACAGGAGAATGAAAAAAAAGTTCTTAATTAATTCATTTTAGATCATTTCTATTGGTCTCTTCAACATTTAACACAATGCAAAAGGTAAGTTGAACATTTAAATTATGCCAAAAAGTAAAAAATGGAGATACACAGGTTTTTTTCATGACAAACATGTTGAATATGCTGTCTTTTTGAATAGTTCACACATTTGCTCGCTTGTTTACTGATTCTCCTTAAAATCTCTAATAAATATGTTCAGTTTACTATGCAGGTATATGACCTTTTTGACCACAACCTAGCAACTAGCATTAAAGGGGAATTTCACTCATTTTTCAAAATTTCTGAATAATTCAGTCATTGAGATGTAAAAAGAGTCACCCAGAGTGTTTTGATGTGAAACGGTTCTTTGTAGAGAAATTTACATACTTATATTTCTGTACAGTGGTGGTGATATGAACCAGGGGTCACTATGTCTTCAACACAAATATAGCCATTTTATTTACTATCCAAAAGCACCAGTGAACCTTCTGAGTTTTTATATGTAATGTTGATGATGGTAAAATTGTCAGAAATCTAAAAAAAAAAAGTTTCCTTTTGGGGACTATTTTGCCTGACAATGCCCTGCGTGTATCCCTCCTCCATGAATGGATTAAAATAAATGGATTAAAATACATTTTAAGGCGTTAAACTCTTCAGATGTCTGGTTCCCATCACCACCACTGTGAACAGTTCTGACTCCGTAATCTTCTCTAGAACAGAGCATTTCACATCAAACCACTCTGAATGACTCTGTTTACATTTCAACCACTTAATTAGGTAGATTTTTTGAAAAATCGATGGAGTTCCCCTTTAACTCACTCAGGCCAAACTTAATGGTTAGTGAACAAATCATATTAGCTAGAAAGTTATTGTACATGCACTGACACAAATGGGGCCATTTATTCAACACTAGCATTAGTTACAGTTAAAAAAACCTGTTTACATATTAAATAATCACAGACACGCTGCCATCTTCTCACCGCTTCACAGACCGCTACTACTCTCCGGCACACAACGGAAAGTCTAAGCACACTATAGTGGGAGTCAGGTGTACCGGTGGGAATTGGAACACTGCTTCAGCACGGCTTGATACAGAACACAGCCATGTCCTCTTGTCGCCATAGAAATAACTGACAACAAAGAGGAGTCCGTGATGAACCGCTCTCGAGAGGCAGGCGCGCGAGGATAGACTTAAAAACGCGTCCATTTAAGTCAGAAGTACCGTAAAGGCACCGAGTCGCTCTGGACCGCTCCGCTGTGGTCAGTATGGACTTTGCCCGGATGCAGAGCAGCCCACCCTTCCACTACACGCTCCGGGCTTCCGGGCAGAGTGAGGTTTGGCGCGATTTCACCGACGAAGCCAAGTTCCGTCAGTACGGGTGGCGCTGCTCCACGACCGAGGACGCGTATTCCCCCGCTACCCTCATCGGAAACTGGGCCGAGAAGAGGTTCGACACTCGTCGTGCCAGAGAATTACGGCGCCCCCTGCCGTCGCAGGCTAGTATTGCTGCGTGTTTGCGTGCACTTCGTTAGAAACTCACCTTGTGTTTCCACTCACCGGTCACTTTATTATGGGGTTTATGGGCTCTTTATGCGCTGCTCGTTTAAGGCAACAATCAGAATCACGATTATATAACACGATTACTCACAGACTTTGGAACCATTATGCATTTATTCTTTTAATACAGTTCAAATACAAGTTTAAACCTGAAAAACAAATGTACAAAAGATAAATAAATGAAAAAAAAAAAAAAGTGTATATATATATATATATATATATATATATATATACACATACATATAGAAATATGTATATATAACAAATAAATAAGACCAAAATAAATGAGAAAAGTTTGGGCTTTTAGGGAGGGCGAAAGCGCGCTGCTATAGAGGAAAGTTGTGCGCTGGATTTATAATAACAAGACAAAATGAGAGCATCAGTCAAAATCAAGACTGAAAATAAAATTTAGTTAACCGCCCAGCCCTAGCACCTCCTTTATAGTTCCACTTATAGGTCCAACAGTATCAGTCACTCTACCCCATTCACTGGTCAGTTTCTGACCACAGAGCCGCTGTTGACCAGGTATTATTTGGGTAGTGGATCGTTCTCAGCACAGCAGTGACACTGATGTGGTGGTGTGTGTTTGTGTTACTGATGAGAGAGGTCCATTATCCAACATATCCAGCCAAGAGTGGCTTTGAGCTCAGAAACTGACCACTATGAGGAGCTATGGGGGGGCTATACACAAATTCTGTATAACAGATGGGCTACAGTCTAAATGTACACCAATAAAATGGAGCTACTATGCGAATGTCTGTCTGAATATACACACAGTTGTATGCAAACGTTTGGGCGCCCCTGGTCAAATTACGTTTTGTTGATTTTCTATGTAAAAGTAAGTTAACACATCAGAGAACACACGTCTGCACAATTTAAGGTACAATCTGTTACATTTTTTATAATATGATATCACTGTACAACTTCACAGGTTTCAAATAATTTGGAGGCTTTAAAAAGCTTTATACCACTAAAGAATTCAGTGAGCTCTTTAGAATGAATCACAAATGTTTGTAAAGGCATTTGATTTTATATACCTGTAGCAATGAGACTGAATAAAACATCTGAATTCAATGATTAATATATATATATATATATATATATATATATATATATATATATATATATATATACCTGGACCTAATAAAATGGACAATGAGTGTAGATACAAGGTAGTAACCTATAAAGTGGCCAATGAGTGCATATAGTATACTATAGTATACAAGTTCTTGCATTTATTTATCAATTTGTTAAAATTTATAATTTATTTATGTCACATGATTGTAATTCCAGTTCTCTCACTACTTTGAGACTACATACTCCTCTGCCTACTACAAGGAAGACAAACGGCCAGTTTACAGCAGTGAGCCTCTTATGTTACCTTTATAATCCCAATTTCTTGTATCTGTCTGATTGTTTGACATGTACACCAGGTTTATGGAATAGTGTGTCATTGTTTAGAAATAGACTGTCTGTACTCTTTCAGCTGTGAAGAGAGAGCCCAGAAGCTTCCCTGGTCATCAGCCTGAACTGGACCCTCCCCACACCAAGAGTGTGCCAAACTCCTGCTACAGACTGGACTTCAGCCGGCATGGGCCAAATAGTAGCTCAGCTGCACCCAGTCCAGAGCTCCCGCTGAAGGAAGAAGGAGCTAGTGACTTATAAAACAGCTCTTTCTTTTCATTCTTTTAAGTGTGTGTGTGTGTGTGTGTGTGTGTGTGTGTGTATTGTATTGCACATAAATATAAGGTATGAACACACATTAAACAGAAAATTACACAGAAGCCTTAACAACTGTGTGTATATATATATATATATATATATATATATATATATATATATATATATATATATATATATATATGTAAGTCAGAGATGAAAGGATCGATCAGTAATGTAGCGGTAACGGCCGATTTTTAGCCCAAATATGCAATTGGATATTTCTTGAACATGAACCCGATCCTGAGAGCTGATCAATGATGTAAATATATGAGTCATATTTTGCTAGAATATAACTGCTGCACCATTTAAGGTGGAACGGAAGAATTCAAACAAGAAGTTGCCGAATAGGAAAACAACTTTAGCTTTGCCGTATCTATTTCACTAATGAAAAAGGTTTTTCCTAAAATATATGATTATTTAATTAGGTTTAATTACCTATTTGGCTCCTACTTTGCTGTAACCTTGCTGTGTGAACGTGTAGAGCTGTAATTATCACGGTTTGTTGTCAAAGCTTTGAGTATTCTATTCTATTAGCACATTGGCATCCATGCACTAATCTTATCTTGGCTTGGCTTACACTGCACTGGCTTCATGACCTGCGGCTTTGGCAGGGCTGAAAATAAAAATAGGATGCAGAACTACAAAAGTGATTGTATGTCAGCCCTTTTTTATCCATCCATGAAGCAGGAGGATTGTGTTGTCCTGTTAGCTGTGCCGGTTGCAAAGGCTCCGGTTATTTTAATGGTTATGCTAGCCTGAGGCGCCAGAATGTAACTGCTGCGCCATTTAAAGTGGAACAGGAAAAGGGATGAGGAAGGTGCTCTGTTTCTACTTGACAGGTGGGTTATGTTAACTCATTTTTGCTGTTTCACAGAATCAGTAGGTCAGTAGTGTTTTGTCCTGTTTGTTAATGTTTGTGACAGTTAATCCCAGCTGGTTAGCATCATAGTAGCAATTGTAGTGACAGTTTGCTAACCCACCACCTACTTAACATAGTTACACTATTTGCTGTGTTGTTGTTCGCTCTTGTGTAATATCACGGTTTTTGTCCATATAATGCTTGTGAAGGGTTTTATGCTAAAGAAGATCTAAAAAAGTATTGTTTGCCTTAGCAGTGTGTGTCCCTGAATCTGGGGGGCGGAGCTTCTGAAGGAGCACTGAAAGGATGGGTGTATTTTGCTGTTGAGTTCAAATAATAACAATCGTTCTCCAGAATCACTTACGATAGATATGGGCCATCAGCTATCGGCTAATCATGCTAAAAGGTGATCAACGATTAGTATTTGCTCCAAAAACACTGATCAGTCCATCTCTAATTTCAGTATTTAGTGTGTCCAGCCTTCATTACAGCTTCCATTGTTGTCAGGAGTCTTGTTTCCAGTTTTTTAAGGAAATCTGCAGGGATATTTTTCCATACTTCCAAAGTTCAGTCTTCGAAGTTGGTTGCATTTTCTGCATTTAACAATCCAAGTAATCCCAAACACTTTCAGTGATATTAAGGTCTGGACTTCGGCGTGGTCAGTCCATTGTTATGAGAACACCAGCAGCTTCTTTGCAGATGTTCTTACTTTTTGTCTAATTCTTTGTCTCAGTAATGGCTTCTTAACAGCTACACATCCTTTGGAAATCTGAGTTGCCTTCTTACAGTGGAAGGATGGACAGAAACACCTGTGGATTTTTCAGATCTGAATCAAGAGTGGAGCTTAATTTTCTCCTCTCTCTCAAAGATGAAAGCTTTAAGTGCTCTTTATCTGATGGGGAAAGTTCTGGTGGTCTATCAAGTCTTGCACAGAAGGCCCAATTTGTCTGTATATTTTAATTTATTTATTTTTTTTTGGTAATTCACTTATTTTCCTTTGACTTCGATCTTCCATATGCCAGTGGATTCTCTTATATCTAATCTCCTCTTGAAATATAAATTACTTGTAATGTAACTTGTTAAAGGCAGGTCTGATGAAATTTAATAAATGAAGGGTGGTTCTCTGACCTTTGCCCAGTACAATATGGTTGCAAACGAGACACTGATACAGCATCAAATTTTGAAACATTATCAGATCCATTGGCCTCAATACCCAGGCATATATAGCAAATAATAAGGGTGTAAAATTTGGCAATGCTTTTCAATTTTTAACCATACAGTCGATTATAATGTACTATAAACTATTCAACATTATTTTGGCCAAAATAAAATATTTCTTCTATTTTTTAACATTACAAACAAGAAATACCAAAATAATCGTCCAACTCAATCGATAAAATCGTCAAAATAATCAAATTAGATACATTATATAATTTCCTAAAGAACTGAAATTGTTCTAAAATCAGTATAGCACATAAATACTAGATCTACTGAATCTGTTCTGTAAGCACTTCCAGCAATTAATTCAGGGATTTTAGCTCTTGTGCTTGCATGACTGATTTCCAGGACCTGCTATTCATTTGATATCTTTGTTTGTTCTATTGTATTGCACTGTGAAAACACTGGTAGCATGCCATGGTTTCAGCCTGGGTGAACTTCACCCAAGCGTGAATGGCATGACAGTGTTTACAAAGTCTGAACACGATGACGTTTCCTTTCCTGTTGAGAGTTTTCGTCCTTTTCCCAGTGGTTAATGTCTTGATAGTTCCTTTGTGTGATCTGCTTATTGATCATGAGGGCTGTTATGTGGTTAGTTTTAATGTTGTTTTGCATTGTGAGAGAGTTTATCAATATAAAAAACATGCAAAACGAAGCATTGGATATTATGTCAGATTATTTTACAGAATTAAAGTCAAACTACTACAATAAACTATAAAGCCTTATAAATTCATACTTTAATTAAGCATGAATCTGCCATGTCTGTAGTTTTTACAGGCCTGATAATAATTCTGGAATGAATTCTCATCTATAAATCTCTGATCTTCCTCAGTGATAATAATAATAATAATAACGATGCCTCCTTTTTAATTCATTTTTTCTTTTTTCTTAGACAAGGCTAACAGTTAAATGGACCTTGATCTGACCCAATTCCTTCAAATTACATTACCAGACTACCTCTGGTTAAACAATTCCAGCTCCGGTAGGGCTTAATACATACATTTGTTTTCAATTAATTCCTTATTGTGGTGTAAACATCTGCATTGAAGGTTTGCATAGTTTTATTGTATGAATACTTGAATACTGCACTGAATACTGTCTGTATTTCATTTATTTGCATTTATTTCTTTTTGTGCTTGTCACCCACCGTCTTGTCTGCTGGTGTCATTTTAAACGTAGCATGGCTGGGACGAGAAGGACAATGAAAAATAAAAATTCATTGTTACCACAAGGTCTTGCCTCTTAATGGCCTAACTCCAGCATTTCTGTTGAAGCTTTATAGCCCATCCAGACCACTATGCTTAGCTGAGGCAGGTTTACTGCAACCTTTTAAGATCTCATACAGCTCACTTGGTGGAGGATCATTTCCTCATACAATCAGAAGTGTTAAACTAACACCCAGATTGTTCATTTGAACAATACCTTGCAGAATATTTGGTCCCACTCTCTGCTTTGGGCAATTTAACACTTCTAGTGTTGTTTTGTACTCCAAATGCCAGTGAATAACAATTAACACTACAAATTCTACACTGATGATTTTCCTGTGTATAGTTTCTAAACTCTGGAACAGCATCTCAGACAATATTAGGAATGCAAGCTTGATAGTTTTTTTTTTTAAAAACAGATTTGTTTAGACTCGCATATGGCTATGGTTGTTTTAATTTATCCTCATTTTTCAGCTTTACACTGATTTTCAACTAAAATGAAAATTGCTGTACAGTCATATGCAAACGTTTGGACACCCCTGGTCAACTTGACATGAAAATACGTTAAGCACATTTTAATCCACAATTGTTGTTTGTTTGCTAAATTTGCCCTGTGCAAACATTTTGGTACATTTTATATTTTATGTTTTTCCCATGTGTTCAACTGTCTTCTTTCTATCACTACCAACATCAGTCACTCAACTTGACTCACTCAGATTTGAGTTTTTATCCTCTAAACAAGGGCTGTCAAACTTAACCACTAAAAGGGCCATATTAAAAATCTCAACAAATCCTTGGGTCAGCTGCAGCTGTGTTTTCATTTTTACTTACCATTTTGCCATGACCCCCAACTGACCATTATTTGTTCAAAATATGCCAATACTACAATGGCAAAAATAGGCACTTAATACTTGAACAATTCAAAAATAAATTTAAATAAAAACAAATTGTTCTGTATAAAACAATAGACTACATTAGCTGCAGATAACTGTTAAAACTCTTTAAATGTCCCCAGCGTACAGTAGGTTTAAACTGCCCATTCACTTGAACTAGACACCTGGCATCTTTTTTCGTTTGTTTTGTTTTTGTGGTGCAGTCCTATAGATCGTTGTTGGGGAGGGGGTGGGAGCACACATTATGTTGCAGTGCATGCTGGGAACTGCAGTGAAATGGGCTAATATTTACAGAAAATTAAAATAATTTTGTGGACCGAATAGGACTGTGCCACGGGCTTGACTGTGGGCCTCGTGACACATGGGCTCTAAACTTATCAGACCTATGATGTGGGGTGCAACAGTTTTACTCTGGTCACTAAGCTAATGCTAGCCTCTGATGCTACCAAGAACATAACAAGATTAACATAGCTAACTTCTCTTTACTGCCTCAGATCTGAGTCTTTATCCTCAAAAGTTGCATCAGTGAAGCTTTAGTGAACCAGAATTGAGTCTGTGCTGTGAAGCTATTTTTTTGGCCTGCTCAGTAAGCTAGCATTAGCCTTTGGTACTATCAAGGTCCATATAATGAAACAAGATTAGTACAGCTAACTGCCCAAAAACAAACCATAACTGCCCTGTCTTTATCCTCAAAAGTTACATCACTGAAACTTCAGTAACAAGGACAATGAGTGAAGCTGTAGCATGCTAAGCTACTGCTGCCTGCCACTAAGACAGTTCTACCCCATATCTGACATGGTGTTTAGATAGAGGTAAATATCAATTTGACATTGTCATAATTTTTAATATCAGCATCTTTTATTCATTTTAGCTCACTGCACTGTCCTAACATCTCACACATGAAGTCAGCTATCTTAGTGATTGCTCTCTGTAACTGCAAGTTTCCGGTTGGCACATCATAATCCTCTCATTAGCATAATTTTGTACATTGGACTCTGATCAGTTAAAGCTCATTCTTGATGTACTAGTCGCTTTTTTCAAGATGAGAAGGTCTGTGTTTTGGATGGAAAAATGTGACCTTGGTGCTATGGTAACACATTTAACATAAATCTATATAATCATAATGAGCCATTCAGGAAGAGTTAACCATTCAAAAACCATGTTTTTGAGTGCAGGAAATCTTTAAACTTTAACTTGTTTTAACCATTTGATATGAACACCCAAACTAGAGATATGGATTATGCAACTAGAAAGACACCAACTCCCTCTTTGCCTTTGAATGATCACAGAATTTATTAGAGTTTGTAACCATCATTACACACATATGGAGCTGTCGTGTTTACACGTTGCTGAGAATCATGAGGAATGTTGAAGCAGTGAACACAAACAGCAGAGACATTTGGAACTCAGGGACTCGGGCCTTTACACTGATCTGAGACCTGTTGCATAGTCTGTTCTTACTGTGATTCAAAAGACTGGGAAGAAAGAGCTGATCCCAAAACAGTGTAAATAGCAAGGTCAAGCCCAAGTGCATGAAATGCCCACGTGTGTGCCCCCCTTCACTTGTGCCTCCTAGTGGTCAGAATGTATCAAAAGTGTCAGTGTTTCTTGTCACAAAATGACATTATTATGTTTAGCAGCTTTGTCAGTAGTGCTTTTGTGAGGCGTTGCTGTGAACATGGATGGTGACCAACAGATAGATGGTAAACAACATAACCTTTTACCTCTATATAGAATATAGACACACACACTTGAACTTACTCTCTCATTCTCTCAAGCTCAGTTTTATACTTTTAGAAGCACATTAAAAAGTGAGTAGACACAGTCTTTAAGAAATCCTAACACCTCTCAGTCAACTGTACCTTTGATTTAGTCTGGAAGCCCCAAAGACCACCACCCAGTAGATCAGATGTTTTTTGTGTGCCCCAATTCTCGTTCCACTGTACCTAACTGTATCGTCTTTGACGCACTCAGTCATAACAGCATGTTTCCAGAAACCACATAACATCACACCAAAACGTCACATACAGACGTGCCTCCAGAAACATATAGAAACAAACAACAGACAGAGGTCACTTTTTTCATAGCGTTTCCCCTCTTCCCTCGCTACCTGCACCTGATCTCCGAATGTAGTCTGGTCCCAAGTCCTTCATGAACAGGAAACATCAAATCACAAAGCAAATCTCAGTACCACCTCCCATTTTGTGTGGTTGAAGCACAAGAACAGTGAAACTACAGGAATCTTACTTCTCACTTCTTTGAGATACAAGATTATGGTGTCAGAAATTCCATCACACTATTCTTTCTCTGATGTCTTTGCACCATATCAGCACAACAAATGCCCAAAGGTCCAGTCTGCCTACACTCAAACCCTCACAATTCTCAACTCCGTGTAGCCATTGTTTGGCATTGATCAGCTGTGAGAGACAAAGAGCCCTGTTGTTTAGCGCCATTTGGTTTGGTGGAGCCATGTGTTTTATGACCAGCAGCCGAGGGACACAAACAATACTCCTGTGGTGTAATGATGTATCTCTGGAGAAACTGTGTAGATCTACCAACCAAATTAGACAAGGCACTAATTATCACTAATTAGCAAAATAACATGTCCTTTGATTGCGATTAGCCTCTGGAAAGGCCAGAACTCCAGACTTGTCAGAGCCCAGGTAAATGCTAGCAAGGGCTTGAATCTTGTTCTTCCCCAAAGCATGATGTGAAGGTGGAGGCAAAGTGCAGGGGAGCACAGTGGAAGGGAGACTGGGGTTGACAGACTTGCACAAGATCTAGCAGCTTTACTTTTTTTGTGGGCCAGACAGAGCGGGCTTGTCCTCCCGAGTGATAGGAATGGGGCGCTCCGGAGCATCGGAGGTCTTGCGAGGGGCCGTCACCGTCAGGATGCCATCTGAGGAGAGCGAGGAGGTGATGCTGGCTGGGTCGACCCCGGTAGGGAGTCGGTATTTTCGGAGGAACTCTCGTGAGATGGACCCGTGGTCATCCTGGAGGGCAGAAGGCACATTATGGGCATTAAACAGACTGAAATATGATCTTGCAGTGCTCAACACTTCAGCTGTGTGCTTTAATGGGTATTAGTGTAGCATAGCAGTGAGTCAAGCTAGGGTTCAGTTCCATGCTTGGGCAAAAACACATGCTATATCAATAAGAGTTCTTGGGCAAGACTCTTAATGCTATGTTTGCTTATATTTGTAACAGGTCAATGTCTGTAATAAAGATTACATTCTTCATGATAGCAAATTTCTCCCTCATAAGTGACCTGCTTGTCATGTTGATGTAGGGCACTGGCTCCAAATGCTGGAGTACTGCCCTGTACATTTTAGTGTTATCCTCACTCTAACATACTTACTACTAAACTGATCTTATATAGTGAATTGATAAGCCCTAAGTTGAAGTGGGTGTATTACAGTAGAAAAATAGTAAAATGTGTAGGATATGGGCTCTTTAGGGCCTGAGTTGCAAACCACTGGTGTTGGGATTTACCTGACGGTCCTCATGTTTAGCATGAACCTCAATGTAATCACCCACAATCTTAACTGCCAGCTCCTCAGGTGCGAAATGTTTTACATCCAAACTGATGGTAAAACGGTCCTTTTCCATTTTCATCTAAAACAAGAAGGTACAATGTGATTTAATCACTTGCATATTTAGAATTGAATAGATTTGAATAGAACCAATAGAATTGGTTTTCTTAACATTTCCTAACATTTTTCCCAATGGAAAGCTCATATTAATAAAGATCAATACAATTCAGTTCAGAGTAACCTCAGACAGCTATGCAAAATCATCATGAGAAAATGTTTGGAACACAACAGGGACATTGTTAATAACTGGCTAGTAACAGTAGAACATTACGTCAACTCCTAGGACAAAACCTTGTCTCCAAAATCATAACTTTACAGGAAAAGGAAAAATGTTCTTGAGTTAATGTAAAAAAAGTTTATTCCTAGCAGTTTTGAAGCATTTCTATTGGTCCATTCATTAAAATCTTTTCACACAATTCTTATTTCTCAGTATGTTTTGGCTATGCATTATTTTTTATTAAGAAAGAGTGTTGCTGCAATCTTCTATATTAATAGCAGGTTGAGTTAACAGATGGAAAAAGTGAAAGTCCCCTCATTCCTATGCAGCCTCAAGAACTCTGTTTAGCATCTTGGATGACTGGCAGGAAGCTTAAAGTCCAGAGAAGCAACCTTCCCAAATAACGTCTCCTTATTAGTCCCTGTGTCATTTATGGAGAACATCACTAGCAATGCACCAAACCATTATCCAGGCTTATGCAGTGAGGATAGAGAACAGCTGAGTGTGGCTCTTCCTGTACTATATGTAGAGTTATAAGTGTGATGAAGAAAAAAGGTATCAAATCTGCTTACCTCTGAGAGCCCACTCTCCACCCAGCTAGGCCAGCGAAAGAAGGAAGGTCGAGGAAAGTACAGTGAGGGGTAGGGGGTCAACACCTCGCTCTCTGTGATATGCTCCCCGAAGTGCTGGTCAAAGATCCGGCTGGGGAAGAAGGATGGCCAGAAGGAGCGGCGGAACCAGGGATGCTGGATGGCGATGTCCATTTCGTCTCGTGACCTCAGGCTTGCGCTATCCACCTCAGGGAAAAACCTGGTGTGTGCCCTGCCTGCCCACTTATATACACCAACAGCGGCAGCCACAGAGCCAGGGCAAGCCAGCTGCGGATCTTTCTGGAACAATGATGTAAACTGTTTTCCTGCCCCCGCTCCACTTGTTCCCTCCCTCCCACTCTCCTCTGCTAGCTGTCTCGTCCTTCTCTTCCAGACAACTCTCTTGGTATTTATCTAAACCGGTGGTGTGATTTCATTCACACAGATACCGGCTGGATTACGGTGCAGGCTCTGAATACAAGCAATGAACCCCTGTTGGAAACTTTGCCTGCCAGCGCTGAGGGTAGCCTTTGGTCTTTTGGCTTTTTTGGCACAAATACTGTGAACCCAGCAGGCCAGCTGCATGCCAGGGCAGATTAGGACGTCCATGTCCTGACATGGCAATACAGTCTGAGGTCTGAACCCCCTTTGAGGGCCTTTTGTCTTTGGCAGAGCCGGGTGCGTGGCCAGTTTGTTCGGAGGCTGCTGGTGAATGCCACTAGGATCATTCTGCTGGGTTGAGCACCATACAGAGACAATCTGCTTCGAAAGAAACATTCCCCTGGTGCCTAGCAGCCTTGGTGGGTTTAGTCAAACTGGCACAAGTGCTCGGCACAGAGCCACTTGCCTAGTCGGTTTCAAAACAGGGTCAGTTGTTTCATACTCAGTCTGGCCTACCCAAGCACTTTGCGAGAGACAGTGGAAAGACTACATTCAATAATTATAACATGATACTTGCTTTAACTCAAGAGTTCCAAAACTGGGCCCTGGAGAATTCTGCCCTGTATATTTTGATGTTTTCTCTGCTCTAATTCAATGTATCCAAATAATCAGCTAATTAACAAGCCCTTCCAAAGATGAAGTGGGTCTGTGACAGCAGGGAAAAAGACTAAAATGTGCATGCCAGGGGTACTTCAGGACTGGGAACCACTGCTTTAGCCTTCTACAACCCCTGGAGGGCTGATGTCCAGGACAATTTGGTGATTTCCCTGTTCAACACATGACTGATAAAATTGGGAATTAACTGGTAAGTTGATAAGGGGTGTTTAAGCTGGGAAATGACCAAACTGTGTTGGGTTCTGGCCCCCCCAGGACTGGAACTGAAGAACTATAGGTACAGTTCCCATGGAGAAACTTGGGGGTAAATTCCCTGATCATGTAGCACAGGAAAAACTCCCTGACCTCTTCATCCTTAGCCACTGAGCTGCTGTTAGTTAATATAACAGATACATCACTGTGACATCACTGTGTCTATGTGCATCTGTCTCCCCCAGTCGCCTCTAAGTTGACAACTCATCCATTAACTCTAATGAACCATAGAACAGGTGCTAGTCTACTCTTCTTTGGGAGAAAGACAAGCGCTCTGAACAGAGGCCCAGTACATTGCTGTCTGAGTGCCCAGTATTGTATCACTCAGTTTTGACCCGCCTTATGCCATGCAATACCAGCATGAGTGCCACAAGCTATTTCTAGACCCATTTATCACCCAGGTCCAGGCACAAACTCGCAGTCTCTCCGGCCCTCACCCTGGCTGTGCCCTCTCTTTTCTCTCTCACTCTCCACTGTTTGTTGTGCTACTGAAAACTGTCAAGCCAGAAAGGACTACTTCCTCTTCCTTTGGTTTTTGGATACCCGCTCCATGCTTCAGCATGGCTGACCGCACCGTACCCCACGCTTACCCCATGAGTATGAACTATGAGATGTGCACTCCTGCTCGGATCTATGACCAGAACTTTGCAGAAGGTAAGTAAATCCTCAAAGAAAGAACAGCATGTGTTCAATCAAATGAACATGTAGTTTTAGGGAAGCCTTTCAGTTGAGGTTACATTAGTTAGATAAGTTTCTCAAAAGGGGAATCTGACACATACTGGCACTGCTAGTTCTTTCATTCACATGCCATAATGACAGCAACAAAGTTGCTCATACACCGAAGAATAAGATTAAAAGGCAAATACTTTTTTTTTATAAGGCCCAACTTGCACAACAGATTAATTTTTAATATAATAGTTCTCTTCACGTTGTTAAATCAATCTAAAAACACAAATATATATAACCAAAAAACCGGGGTAACATAAGCTGTCCGCTTGCCAATGAACCTGCAAAACATGGGCCAACTGAATCTACTGACAGCAGTTTATACTGGAGTGAAATATAAGGCCTAGGTTGATTTATATTTAGAATGCCGCACATGACAAAGAGTCCAAAGCTACCACACAAAAATAACTGTCATCCACTGATAGACTAAGCATGAACTGGTTTCCATATCCAGGACTGAGCAAACCACAGTTCAGTCGTGGGCCTTCTGTTATGTACAAATACTATTTTTCCCACAACTTTTGATAAAAAACAGACACTGTGTGAATGGAAACTGATTCTTGGAGTGACACTGCCAATACTACCTGAAATTAGACCTGACGTAGCAGTTTCCGGAGTCTTGGAGAGGGCAGGACTTTCTATTTTTACGGTGCTGTTAGGCAAACAGTGTTTGGATGTCCACACTGCTCACAGACTAAGGAACAGCAACATTACATGTTTATCAAACACAACAAATATCCAAAAATGGAAAAGACATTCAACTAACCAACATGTTCACCTGTTTTATGAACCCATATTTGTTTATCAGGCTAAATGCTAAATGCTAGCTTGACACCAGTAACACACAGCTGCCAGTTTCCTACTGCTGCAGATTGCTAGCTGGCATGTTCTCAGTGGCATTTATTATCAAGAATAAATGAGAGCATGCAGGCTAGCTAGCTGTCCAGAGCTGTAAGAAAATATTTCAGACTTCACTGGGCTTAATGTAGGGCACACTTCAGTATAACACAGTTTTGCACAGCTTAAAACCTTGACCATCCCCCCAGTGACAGACAAGCTGGCCAAAAAGTTGTTTTCATTTCATAAGATGATGGTTAAGAAGATTCTGGTTCCCTGCACAGCTCACTGCAGTTCAAACGAGTCAGAAATGTTTGTCAGGGTTGCCTGATAGGGCAGGACCCCTTATTTAGCATTTTAATGCAACTTGTTGAAATAATTATTTAACAAAGAATTTTTTATTAATTTGTAATTTATCAATTACATTTTAGAGAATTCAGACCAACGAATTCTGTCAGATTTGGGCTGGCAAGCTTATATAAGAGCCCTGTGACTGGATCTTATGTATGGTTTTTATGACCTCCCTTTTCTCTTCTACTTTTCTCTAATCAAGAGCAAGCAGGCCCTTCTTTATACAGACAATGATATTGGAATTGTTTGGAGTTGTGTTTATTTATTTATTTTATTGCAAAGAATGAAAGCTAGCAAATGCTAGTTAGCATGCACTATGGTTTACTTGGTAATCCTATAAGTTCTGGACCGCCATGCCTACCAGTCTGAATGCTTCACTCCTCCTTATCCATACACTGCTGGAAGTATGTGTGGAATGTTTCACCCAGTGTGAAGGCTGGCAGGGTGGAAATGAATGTAGGCTAAGCTGTCAATTAGGATGTTTTCATTACATAATACAATGCCTTTTACTTTGACTTTTAACCCCGTTGCTTCTCCACACAGCACTGAGTCCTCAGGACCTGATGGCTCCAGTCTTGTACCACGGCTACTACATCAGGCCCCGAATCAACAAACAGCTGGAGAGGGGCTTCTCTCAGGTGGACAGCGAGGATGACTGGTACCGTATTCAGCTGGACGTCTGCCAGTTCACCCCAGATGAGCTAAATGTACGCACGGTGGACAACCTGCTGGAGGTGACCGGACGCCATTCGCAGAGAATGGACCAGCACGGCTTTGTGAGCCGCGAGTTCACGCGAACCTACATCCTTCCCATGGGTGTGGACCCACTACTGCTCCAAGTCTCCCTCTCACACGACGGCATACTGTGCATTCAGGCACCAAGGAAGGTCCAGGATCTGGAGCCAATGATCAATCAGCTCAAGATCAGAGTGGACAAGAAGGGAGGGAAGAGCAGCTAGAGTGGACAGATATTTAGATCTTTTTACTAAAGGAAGTAAACATTAGCTTTTGGGAATAAAGTAATACCCAGCCTTTTCTCTGATTTCATATCCCCATGCTCACTTCCTCAAGCTGCTTTTGTCTTTGGAAAGTCAACGCAGTGGCAGAGAGTTACCATTTTCAATGGCACAGTCTGTTAATTATGGGTAGTGTCTTTTTTTGCAGATTTGATTTTGCCAAAGTACCACTGAAAGAAAATTAAAAGCGTGGAGGGCTGGATCTCTCTCACTGATGTCACATACATGCTTTTCCAGCCACAAAGAGAGTGAGCTTGATTTGCTAAGTTGTAGGATTTGAAGTGGGTGGAGTCAGTGGGTGGATGGTTAAAGCATAGTTTGCACTTGGTTGTGTTTTTTTGTGGCTTTTGCTACATAGAATGCTGGCAGCTATGAAAAAGCTAGGGATGCCCAATTGGATTCAGCAAAGATTGGAATCAGCTGACTTTTTCCTCACAAATACAACTGGCAATCACCCAATTATATATGTAAATAGTGTGAGCCAGGTAAGTGCACACGTAACGTATTTGGATGCTACTGCTATATTTATACCAAAATGGTGTAAAGCATAAAGCCACAAGTCACACCGAATGCTTGTAGGCAAGTGCTGAAAAAGCAGTTCACTTGAAAGGGAAAAAGGAATTAGCTTTAGTAGTGCTTGAACTTTGTGGTACAGTCTTATGCAAAGTTTGGGCACCCCTGGTCAAATGACACGTTTTGTTGATTTTGTAATTGAAAATAAATGAACACATCCTCTACAGAGAACACAATTGTGCACATTTGAATGCATACTTATTGGGGGAAAAACATAAAATGTGGCCTGTGCAAAAGTTACAGCATGTTTTATATTTTCAGTTGTATTTTTTACAGGATGTTACAAAAACATGGCAGTGGTGTTCAACTGTTGCATACATCTGAATTGTCTTTATGAAAAATTCTAAATAAATGAACTGCTCCACAGTCAACACAATGTTCTTGTCACTCAAAGTTGCAAAGAAAACAAACAAAAAAACCCTAGTTAACTAGCATTAACTGTTCACCAAACCATTTCTCTCTTCAAAATACATCAGGGTGCATGATCGTTTGATTTTTGCTCCACCCCTGAGAAAAAAAAAGGGAGGTGACCATCTGGTGTGACCACAGCTTATTTTGCTGTGCTAAATAGTCAATATCATATCTGATATTGTTTCTGTGGAACTCAGTGTCACCTTTTATTGGACAGACAAGCTCAATGCACACTTTTAAAAAACATTTGGAAAATGAATCTCTTTAATTTAGCTTTTAATTAAAATTCCACCTTTTTCATATTTATTATTTTTTTCATTTTAACTGTAAATAACCTCAGTTTAAGCATTTAAATATAAGGTATTCTGGAGGAAATGTCTTTGTGCATCTAAAATGGCTGCAGGAGGTATTTCTGAGGAGATCAGACATAAAATAATTCACTTGCATCAGGAAGAGAAAGTTAAAATAAAATACATGAAAAAAACAGGTTTCCAAAACTGGGGATTGAAAAATTATTAAACAATATACTGAAAATGGGACTCAAACAACCACCTGCAACACCTGGTAGAAGACAATTCAATGCTCTGCGTCTGAAAGGATGTGTAGCTGTCAAGAAGTCCTCACTGAGAAAAGGAAACAGATGAAAAAAAAAAAGAACGTTTACACAGAAACTGGAGATCTGAGATGTGGAGTAAGGCTTTGTGGACAGATAAGTATAAATCTGTAAATAAGATTACTTAGACTGCAAAAAGTAGAAAATGCAAGCAACTTCTAAGACTGAACTTTGGAGGTGTGGAAAAATATCCCTGCAGAAAAACTGAAAACAAGACCTCTGAAAAGAATGGAAACTGTAATAAAGGTAAAGAGTGAACACACTAAATACTGAAAGGAATTATAGTTGTTGGGGTTTCTGTGTAATTTCTGTAAATATTTTCTTTTTTCGTCCTGACACTAAAAAACAAATAACTTACACCTGACTGGTAACTGAATAAACATAAGGGTGGTCTCTGACTTTTATATGAAGAATGAGATCTTGCTCTTTTCTTAAGCAAGTATCATTCAGCAACTAGGGAGAGAAAAGTCAGACACAACAGTGTTAAGACAGTGTTTTGATCCAAAGGTTGTTTCTCAGAAGCTAAATTTAGGAAATCTGAGAAAATGACTAGTTAAGATTGGACTTAACTGTCTCTTGGAGAAGTAGATGAAGATCGAGGTCTTATTTATAATATGTCTGTTCTCTGGGTCCTCTTAACAATATATTACTGGGCATCACAAACTGTTGAAATAAGGAAGTTCTATTCTAGATAATGGGCGCGCAGTTCTAGTCCTGGAGATCTACCTGATCACACCTGATCCAGGTAATGAAGGCATTTGAATATCAGAGCCAGGTGTGCGTTGGATCTGAGCTCTCCAGGGTGGCAGATCTCCAGGACCAGAATTGGACTCTGCTGTAGACTTATTTCATGTTCTCATAGTGGTGAAAAAACATCAGACCACAAAATGTTCGGTCAGTACTTTTCCCGCCATGTTATCTGAGGGTAGATCATTTTGTATGGTACACAAGTCAACAATGGCTAAACAAGGGAAAACAGAAGTAGTTAAACGTTCACTAGCCCTTCCTCAAGGTCAGCCAAGGGAAACCAGGACGTAGGAGGCGTTTCGCAAGCGGACAAAGGTAGCATACATTAGACACTGCACCTGCTCCAGTTACCTCACAACAAGGAAATGAAGCAGGCAACTAAATAAACCACTGCTGTCCGCCTCTTACAACATGTACAGCCATGGGGAACGGGGTAACGAAAGCCTTGGCTAAGTAAGTAGCCTTTTCTACGAGCTATCTCATAGTTGCTAAAGTTGCTAAACCCAGATTGACGACTGACTTGACTTTGGCTAAGGTAAACAAATCGTCGGTTGTAAGTAGGTGATAAACTGTGCTTAGTCTGAGTGAAAGAAAATAACTTTACTTTGTAAACATTCAACTTACTACGAGGCTGAAGTTGGAATTTTCCGTTCCACCTTAAATGGTGCAACAGTTCTATTCTGGTGCCTCAGGCGCTAGAATGTAACAGCGGAACTGCTGCACCATTTAAGGTGGAACGGAAAATTAGTTTAAGACGCTGGCAAATAAAGAAGCTAACTTCAGCTTCGTCTGCTTACTTGTGGTCAGATATTCGCTTATCAACTCTTTAGTCTCGAACATTTTGCCTATAAAAGTCATCCTTTCTAAGGGCTTTAATTGTATTTTGAGCCTGATCCGTTAGTCTGTTCATATTAGAAAGGCGACGAAAGAGACCTGAGGAGTACCAACCACACCCAGCAACCTAGAGGGCGCTGGTGAGCACAGTGGAAAGGTTACAGTGGTGATGGCGCGTTTGTGTAGTTTTGTTTTGGAAGAGAAGTAAAAAGGGAATTAAGGTCTATTAGCTTCGTTTGTCCGTCAGTGACCAGCTAAGTAAGTCAGGTCTTGGCTGTTAATATGAGACTTATGTATGACTGTCTTTCTAATGATTGGAATCAGTTGGCACAGTGTTTCTTTAAAGGGGAATACCACCAATTTTTAAAAAATGTCTGTAAAATTCAGTCACTGAAACGTAAACAAAGTCGTTCAGAGTGGTTTAATGTGAAATGATTAATTGTAGAGAAACCTACCAACTTAGTTTTCATTTACAGTGGTGGTGATAGGAACCAGGGGTCGCACTGTCTACAACACAAACATTTCCTTTTTTTAAGACCACCAGTGAACACGGGTCTTCTGAATTTTTAAAATGTGACGTTGGTCATGCTAAAATAGTGGTAGATCTGAAAAAATAAGTTTTCTGTGTGTTTTGTCTCACAACACCCTACATGTACCTCTCTGCCACAAATGGCTTTTAAAATATAAGTTTTAGGCCAAAACCTCACAAAACTTCAGTAAAACAGTATCTCAGATGTTAGGCCTCATATTCGTAACCATTCAACATAGAAAATTTCTGTGACGTAGCTTTTGGAATTATTAGATGATTCAGACGTCTGGTTCCCATCACCTCCACTATGAACAATTCTGACCCAGTAGGTTTCTCTAGAATGGAAAATTTCAAATCAAACTGCTCTGAATGACTTTGTTTACATCTTAACTATTTAATTATGTACAAATTTAGAAAAATCAGTCTAATTCCCCTTTAACCCTGGTTCTGGAGGCCTACATTTAAGTGCTTTTTCTGCTTCTGTGCAAATGTGAAGCACTTCATGGGACTGGCTTTTAACTCCTAGAGCATACTGTGTACAGTATATTGCACCAGTATATAGAGCATGTTACTCCTCATTAGTATACTATATAGTATCCAGTGAGCCAGAATTATTGTTCCATACTATGTTTCATACTACATAGCAAGGGTGTGACATCAGGTTCTGAGCACGATCGAACAGATCCTAAGAAACGCCTCATTTTCGTTCCCTCTGATCACTTTTTAGTAGTCATTGCTAGCTGCTTTGTTTTAATGCTGGATGCCATGAAGATCTGGCTGTAGAGTAGTACATCATCCTGGTATCTTTGGAAGACTACGTACTGCTTTAGGACACAATCAGATTAGAATTAGAAGTTGGTTGCATTGAGTGCTACTTTCATTCCAAGTAATCCCAAACACATTCACTGATCTTGAGGTCTGGACTCTGGGGTGGTCAGTCCATTGTTCTGAGAAGACCAGCAGCTTCTTTGTTTGATTTTGCATTTTTTTTTTCTTTTTTGTCTGTTTCCTTTTGATGACATTTAAGTGCTGTTTATCTGAAGGGGACAGTTTTGGTGGTCTACCAGGTCTTGCGGGTGGTTGTTAGGCGTCCCACTTTCTCTGTATCTTTTAGTAATTTTTTGAACTTCACTTTTGGAAACACCTGTTTTTATTTAGGTATTTTCCTTTGATTTTCCCTCCTTATGCAAGTGAATTATCTTATATCTAATCTCCTCAGAAATATCTCCTAAAAATGTGATAATTTGTCCTTAATTGACCTAAAAATCAAATAAATGAAGGGCGTTCTCTGACTTTTGCACAGTAGTTTACATATTAGTAGCCTAAGAGGCTACACTGTAAATATTATTTTACAAAGTATTATAAAGTAGACACAAAATTATTTTTGCACTTAACTTGCATCATTTAAATAATTTTGGAAAAATGTTATATTAATGAAAAACAAAACATTGGAACAATACACACTGTTCAAATGTTATATTAATGAAAAACAAAACATTGGAACAGGGTGTATTGTCTGCACAGACTTTGCACTTCTGTTATTGGTACTAAACAAGAGTATAAAGAGGAACATATGTGTGTTACCAGAAGTCAGTGTACATAGTGGTGATCTGTAAATGCAGATTTATGGAAAGAATGTGTTCACTGGCTTGTTAAATGCTGATATGATATTAGATGATCATGTGAACCAAAGGAACCAAACGTCTGAAGACTTTAAGACCTCTGAAAGCTACCTCATATGAAGTTATTATGGGAAACGATTATGAATACGCTCCCTGGTGCCGGATTCGTTGTTTTCTAAGAGTTTTGAGCTGAAGTGTTTATGTTAAATATATTATTTTCAAATCCATTCATGGCGAACAGGTACATACAGGGCATTCTAAGGCAAAATATACCCAGAGAAAATATTTATTTTGGGGATTTTTCAGTATTGTATCATTATCAGAATTCTATATAAAAACTGAGGAGATGTGTAGATTTTCAGGTCATTTCAGAAAGTAAATAAAATGACTATATTTGTGTTTTAGACATCATGACATTGTGTGGTTCCTTTTACCACAACTTTAATATCTCCACTTTAATTTCTTTACAATTCAGCATTTCACATCAAACCACTCTGAATGACATTGTTTACATCAAAATGTTTGAATTATGCAGATATTTATAAAATTGGTGTAATTCCTCTTTAACTAGTCTACTGAACAGCCCTCAAATATTAAAGGTCCTCTTCTACATTTTTCATATTTTTCCCCCTGAGGTCTGTTTACAACCTCTCTTTATGAGCTTTGTTCTGATTTGTATCTTGTTAAAAAAAACAGCATGGCCTGAAACACTCAGTGTGAATGGGTAGGGCGCTGTAGTTTGTGTGCTATAGTCTGAATGATCAAGGCTAAACTGATGTAAGCTGAGGGGGGGCGGGGGTGGTAAATGTTTTAGGTTAAATGGGTGAACCTAGACTGCTGTAGGTGGAATAGGTGGATAGATGTAAATATGTTGGTTGGTGATGTCACAAAAACAGAGAATTCAAAACAGTTTTTTGCAGCTTAGTTTTCCTGTATGGACCAGGGAGTAAACAGCACATTTTGAAAGTTTTATAATGTTTACTGCATACTACTTACAGCGTTTTCACACTGGGTTTTTTTTTCCCTGACCCAGGACCGTTACTTTATGAGTTTGGTATGTGTAGTCAGGTGTGGAAGCTGTTTTCGAGCCCAGGAGCAGTCCAGAGAACCAATCTCTGGTCCTCCCTCAGCGAATGTGGGGTTGCTCCTGCACAGTAAAATGCCACATATACAAAAAATGCTGTTCTTTGCTGTCTTTGCATCCAAGGAAAATAATCGAAAGCAGCAAACGGAGGAAGCTAGTGCCTACCATTTGGCAAACCTGTGCTCAGAAAAACTGACGTATGGAATTGTGCAATCGTTCCATGTTTCATGTGGAATTGCTGTGTGTGAAAGCAAACCAGCGATAATGAGCCCCTCGCCCAAATGATCGGTTCTGGGTGTGACTCTATTTGTGTGAAACACCCTTAAACTCTTTTATTTAGAAAGGAAAGAAAATCAGACTTTTACGTGATATAAGCCCTTTAAAACACAGGTATTTTCCATAATAGTTAGAACTGAATGCTGGAGGAGCAATAGTTTAGTCTTTACAGGGCATGGCTGCCCAGCTCTGGCCCTGGAGAAGCAGAGTCGAGCACAGTTTGGTGATTTTCCTACTCTAACACACCTAAACCTGATAAATAACTGATGCGTTCAATCAGGTGTATTTAAACAGGAAAATTGGCTAACTTTTTTTGGCCTTTAGAGTGGAGTACTGGAAAGTCAAAGGCAGGCAAGGCGTTTCTGAAGTGACATCTCACCCATCACAATTAAAACTTCATTTATTTAAAACAATAATAAATGCTAAGTGAAATACAATTAAACAATAACTATAAACAGGGACAAAAAGGGCTCCTAAATTGTGTATATAAATAAAATAAGAATTAATAAACTCTCAAGCAAACAACTCTTGTGGTGCTCCACATAATGTTTTAATTCTCTGTTATTTTTCTTTGTTAGGTGGGGTATAAATCCAAGGAAGCTCAGTCTAAAGCGGTCATCAAAGAGAGGTAAGAACAGCTGTGTCTGATGGTGATCCAGATGTGCATTGCTAATACACTCAGGTGCAGTTTCTCAAAATAGTTCTTGGAGGCCTTCATAGTCAGTTCCGTCATTCAGGTTATTTGAGGCTGATTACCTGGATCAGGTGTGTCGGGTGTTTAGATATAACAAGATATAATTTAGATATAATTTGTTCGCTCTTAATCTGTGTACACTTTGGCTGCATATTAAAATCTTGATGCACTGAACTATAATGAAACCTCCAATTAACATTAACAATGTTTTTGTCTTTGCTTCTGTCAGCTCCTCGTGCACCTGCTCCATCCCATCAGGTATATCTGTTTTTCAAAGCTGCTGCTGTGACTCCATTGGGATACTTCCTTTACTTACAGTTACAGCGACTGCTTCCTGTGTTGTTTTGTTAATGTGTTGCCGCTTGTAAACGGTGAATTAAATTTTGTTAAATCATGAAATGTACGATCATGAAATTTGCCATATAAATAACCGTGTTTAACAATTTGGAATTTTTGTTCATTATATGCAGTTATTAAAGTACAGGCCTTGGGTGGCCAAATTGGCTGACTAGCTTTCTCGCTTCATCACTTCATGATGTCTAAAGTAGCTCCCAACTGACCACAGGCACAGCTCAAGCTCAAATAAACAAACATTACTCACTGCTGCCCCTTAAAGGTGCCATGGCAGCAATGAGAAGTTAGTACGTTTTTTCCGAGGCCCATGATGTGTCTCGAGAGGTGCGTTGTTTTTTTTTTTTTATTTACCTCAACACAACTGATGAAAATGCAAGGCAAACATATGATTGTGGAAGCAAACAACTGTAGAAAATAACTGCGATCAGCCCAAATAACTGTGATCAGGTGATTACGTTATAAGGCCAAGCAGTGAATTGTTGGGTGGAATAAACTAAATTTAGTATGATAAGAAATAATACAACAGAATTTGTTCTGATTTTGTAAAGTTATATCTCGAATCAGCATAGAATGGTGCCCATAAATATTTGGACTTTATAATATCTGTTTTTAATGTGATATATTTAGTGATTAAAAAGTCATTTTTTATTGATCAGTTTAAAAATTCTCTTCAGATTTGTGCTTGGAAAAGCTCAGAGAACATATGGACCAAAAGACATTTTAAATTTCACATGTGGAGATTAATGGATTAACTTGGTGCCATATTGATTTTGTGATTGATTATAATAATGCACTTCTGCACTGGACTCAAAATAAGATTTTTCATTTATATTTTGTTTTTTCCCCAGTATGTGAAAGTTAACAGAAACTATGCACTGACATTTAAAAGCAAATGCCATATAAAATATATGTTAACTTATTTCAGAATCTAATTTCACATTTCAAATTTTACATATAGCTGTGAATGGCTAAGCGGAGTTTACCCCAAATCAGGGTCTAAGACAGACTAATAAGGGCCGTTGAGTCATTGGGTCAACTTTTGAAAATCAGTAATTTTGCATTAACAGTGAGTGCTTAGTGTTGTACTTAGTCTGGTTTGTTTTGTATTAGCCTGCAGATGCACACATATACGACCAGGTGGCAGCTGAGCCTGAGTACGCTCAAGTCAATAAAAAGAAGAAGACGGACGCTGATGACTTACACTATGCCGACGTCCAGGTGCTACAGTCTGAAGACACGACTGGGCGAGAAAGGCAGAGAGCGGCTCCAGTCAATAACTCCAGCACAGAGTACGCAACCATAGACTTTCTAAAGAGCGGCTTTAAAACACATTCATCACCTGAACCTGCAGATATTCTGATTCCACCTGGAGAGCTCAGGAGACCAGTGGCCAAGCCTAGATCTGTCCACAAGAAGAGTACTTCCTCACACCGCTCTGTTATGGTGTGAATGGAACATACATGTATATATGTTTTTAAAAAGTTCTTGTAAAATCAATATACATATTTTTTTAATGTGTATCTTAAATTGCTTTGTGTAAGAAATTCCAACTGTTTATCCATGTTAATCCATATGAATCATAACTGATATGATTTGTCATTCTTTTGACAAAAAATGGCATTCGACAGGCTCACACTCTTTAAAGTAGAGGTGCCAAAAAGGGTCCTCTGGACCATACCATAGAAGAACCACTTTAATAGCAAAATATGTTTGTAAATATTAAGGCCTCCACAAATTGTTTGTTCTATACCAATTAATGGGCCCATGTCCTACATTTTTCTTGCATTTTATTTTTCCCCCTGAGCTGCGTGGTCTTATGTACCAAAAGCATTCATAATTAATTTTACCATTTATCAGCTTTAAACTGGCTGCTTTTATTACTGTGCTTTAAATATATAAATATATGTATGTATATTACTGTGCTTTAAATATATATATATATATGTATGTATATGTGATCTAACACTCCTTATAACTTCAGTGGAATGGGTGGAGCTAAACTGCTATAGGCTGAATTTATATATTTTATATTATATATATATATATATATATATATATGTTTTCGTTTTGACATCACAATAACAGTAAACCCAAAACAGGCAGTTTTTGCACTTTAAATACCATATATAGACTGTATGGACTGGGAACTGTACAGTAGAAACTTTGACAGTGTTTACATACTAAACTCATTTATCTCCTAAAAAGCAAGGAGGTTCAGTTTTTCATGATATGGGCCCTTTAAAGGTGTTTCCTAGAACTGTTCATGCTAACCAGGAGCCATTTGGGGACTTTTATTGTTAAGAGTGTAGAAGGAAATAGAACAGGAGTAGAGGAATGGATTTGCATGTGGTCAGTTCATTTCGTAAAAAACAACAGTAGCATTTGAATCATGTAAGATCCCCACCATGTCTTGCTTTGGGCAATGTTTACACACAATAAAAACATTTTATAAAGATTTCAGTGTCTGTCTTCCTGTCTTGTATAAGACTTTAATTGTGCTTTACATTTTCTTATTAAATGGTAACTACAATTTTTAGGGTTCAATGGTGTTTTTTCTTCCAATTTAAGCATCTATATCAAAGTTAAATCACTTCATTAAAACATTTTGATAATTCCTTCTTATTTAAATCAATTATTTATATATATATATATATATATATATAATATATATATATATATATATATATATATAAATATATTTATTTATATATATATATATATATATATAATGTATGTATGTATGTATGGGTTTCCTCCCACAGGCCAATTGGACATGCTAAATTGCCCCTGAGTGTGAGGGAATGTGTATGTTTTACAGCCTACGGTGGCCTGAGGGCGAGTGGTAGAACCACAGTGCCCTCTTCTGGATGTCAGAATTATTAATTAAAATTCAGAACTCTATCACAGTATCCTTCTGATTTTTATAACAGCAGCTGATTGCAAACTGCAGATATAATAGGAGTTTAGCACGTGGTACTTGTCCAAATTGAAGAAATGTTCAATAATTTTAGCAAAATGGGAATGAGATGATTAAGTCGTGGCCATGACTTAGTAAGGCGTGGGAACGAGATCACGCCTTACTAAGTCGTGGCCACGCATTATTTTTCTTTATACAGGATGTCACTAGTGGGGCTCCGTAAAATAGTGATAAATCTGAAAAAAAAATTCTTTGGGGACTTTTTTTTTGCCTCACAACACCCAACATGTATCCCTCCGCCATGACCGGATTAAAATAAATAGATTAAAGTACATTTTACGCCACAAAACTATCATAAAACAATGCCTCAAACATCAGGCAGTATTCATAACCATTCATGTAATAGCTCTCTGTGAGGGACCTTTTAGATGAGGACCACCACTGTGAACACCTGACCACAGCAAACCACTCTGGACGTCTTTGCTGACATCTTAACCATTTAATTACGCAGAATGTTTTGAAAAATCGGTGGAGTTCCCCTTTAACCTCTGACTATCGCCTCTGATTGTCTGGTACGATATTTTACTAGGCATATGAAGTATGAACACGTGGGTTTATTCATTTCTGCTTTGTTTGATTTGTGAGTTTTTGGCCCTGAGATGTTTAAGAATCGTTGCTGTTGGTAGATGAGTGGCTAACCACTCTCAAAGGCGCTGCTATCCGGATGGATTCTGAGTTAGCTGGCTAACTAATGTTAACTGAGCTAACTAAGTTATTTACCAAGTTGATTCGTGAACTGTTCGTTCTCAGTTAGTCACTGTTTCCGGATTTCGCCCAGAATCATGCAGACAAACGGGGTTTCTTCGAGAATCATGCAGTTTATCGACCCAGAGGAGCGCCGTCGAGCTGGAATTCAGGTAGCCAGTCTGTAGTCCGTATAAACTGCGGAGCTGAAGTCGGGTTCTTATTCGAATTTTGCCGGTCCACCTTAAATGAGGCTCTAGAACGTAACTGCTGCACCATTTAAGGTGGAACGGGAAACTTCCGATGGGAAGCGAACTTAAGCCTCGGGTATAAACTGGTTTGGCTGGTTTAAAGCTGAGCAGGCTGAGTCGGTCCTCATCAGTCAGAGTCTAAGCGATATTGGCCCACTGTGAACTAACCTAGCTAGGTTAGCTAATTTGTAAGAGTTCGCTACTTATTTAGTTACTAGCTAGCTAGGTAACGATAACGTACTTGATGTACGAGGCTGAAGTTGGGTTCTTATTTAAATATTCCGCTGCTACCTTAAATGGTGCGCCAGAATGCCGCCTAACTGCTGCACCATTTAAGGTAGACCGGCGAATTCGATTAAGAAGCTAACTTGAGTCACTTGGTGTGTCATACTAGACTCCTGGCTCAGTTAGCCTTTTAGCTTTAAGTCACAACAAGCAGGGCTGGATGAAGTACAAAAGTACTGTACTTGAGTAAAAGTACAAATATTCTTTCTTTATTTTTTACTAGAGAAAGGTACTTTACATTATTGTGCCTGAGGTTCTTTTAAGCAGTTGTAGATGTTGCGTAGTACTGTTTGGATGAGTTGGATGACATGTTTCTGTACGTATGATACCGTGAATCGTAATATTTTAATGTAACATAACTTTATAATGTTTTATCTAGAAATGCAACTTCACTGAGTAAAAATGTAAACTTGTAAAAATGAAATGTGGCTTTTTCCAGTTCATTTGAACATGAGGAACAATTCTTAGTAGTATGGATTAAATTTCAATTTAAATTAAATTCAATCATGTGAGAAAATTACATTTTGCAATGCTGAAATTTTAACTTGATTTCCTTTCTAGTGAAAATTGTATTTTCTGATTTAGTTATTACATGTAAGAGCAGAAAATGAACATTTTACGTAGTAGAACAGTTTTTTTCTGTTTTCAGTAGTAAGAAGTCAATTACAGAAATTATAGGGTGATTCAAAAGATTCATCCATTCAAAGCACCATATTTTTACAACCATGAGGCGCCTAGGAACCAATCACATACCAATTGAAAGAGGGGGTCGTAGAGTTTCTGACTGTCACCAGAAGATGGCTCCCTTCAGTCTGCGAGGAGATGCGACCCCTGAGCAGAAAGTGTTTTGCGTTCTCCACTTCAATAAGAGTGAATCCATCATGACTGTGCAGCATGATTTTCGTGGGGAGTGAACCTCCAACAGCTCAGAGTGTTCGTCGTTGGTTCCACAACATTGGATGATCTCCGAAGTCACACTGAAAGAGCCATGAGTGCAGTGACTCCCGACATGCTCAATCGAGTACAGGATGAATTTGACTATGGCGTTAATGTTGTCTGTACAACTGGAGGAGGTTCATATTGAGCACTTGTAAAATTACATAATAAACTTTACGCTCACTTAAACCATTTACAGTTTACTGCATTGTTCTGTAATGATTAACAAGTGAAATCATTTTGAAATCAGATGAATCTTTTTGAATCGCCCTGTATTTTGAAAGTTAAACATGTCAAATATAATATTTACTTGTGAAAACAGAATTATAACATGTTAATTTAATTCATAGTAAAATTCCTCTTTCCATTACAGTGAGCTGGGAAAATACATGAATCGTTATTGATCAGAACTGAGATTTCTGAGATTTTACATGCTAAAAATAAATACTTCTACTAAGTGTTTAATTTTGATATATCAGACTTGGACTTTTTACATGTTGAATTTCATGTGCTAAGAATATTAAGATGGCTTTCCACGTAGACTCCTTTCCAGCGTCTTGCTCAGCAAATGCAGGACATTTTAGGAAATGGAGGGATTCTCAAAGAAGTGATACGTGTGGGAGACGGCCCACTTGTGCCAAGGGATGCTTCAGTCTCTGGTAAGTATCCTGAGACTGTATTGTAATTTAACAACGGTGCTAAAGTTTATTTGTTTTGTGGAATTATCGAGTGAACCATGTACAGCACTATCGTAATCTGTTCATCTACAGTTCATTATTCAGGATTCCTGGAATACTCTGATCGGCCGTTTGACTCAACAACTCACCTTAAATTTCCTAGAATGGTGAAGCTAGGTAAAGGTATGATGGGAATGGAATTCCAAAGGGGGAATGATGCCTGATGTGTGTAATTGTTACTAATTAGACTTGTCGAAATGACTGTAACCCATAGTGCTATGTTCTCTTTAAAGATGAAATTTTTTTTCTTCTCTTTCAGATGTGACTTTGTGTGGTCTTGAGCTGGGCCTGCTGAGTATGAGGAAAGGAGAGTTCTCTCGTTTTCTCTTCCAGCCCGATTATGCATTCGGGGAGATGGGTTGCCCCCCACTCATCCCGCCGGTGGCCACTGTGCTGTATGAGGTACAGGTCCTCGAATTCCTTGACACAGCTCAAGTCGACGATTTTTTTGCAATGAGTCCGGTGAGAATCTGTCATTTGTCTATGTATTTTTGTTTATTTGATTTGAGTTTTTGTATTTGAAATACAAACCAAGTCTTTACATTTACATGCATGTTTTCTTTGTTCATTTGCGATAACTTCACATATTAAGTAGAAAGCTGTTTAGATTTGTTTCTTTGCAAAAACTGCCGAACTGGAAAAACAGCTCTATTTTGGGAATAACCCCCAATCCCACACATTTTATCTTCTCGTTGTGATGTCGGCACAAACGAGTTTGTAAAAGTAAACTGTCTGGTCATTATTTAGGCCAAAGCTGCTCTATTCCAAAGAAGACCCATTGATGAACACGAGTGTTGTAAGGGGATGCGCACATCATGCATTTTATGGTTGATTCTGATTTCTTTACGGCCAGATTGGCTTTTTAACCCGATGCTCACACTGTGTGGATCAATAAACACATTAAAAGGACAATCAGGCCAGACTGAAACATGTAGTGATTGTTACAAATATTGTAAACATGCTTACCTGCATCCAACAGTGGTGCCACAATAATCTCTACACTCTTAAAAAACATGGTTCTTCAAGGGTTCATAAATAAAGAAAACGGTGCTGAATAGAACCATGCACACTCATAAGAACCTTTTCATGATTTAAGGGTTCTTTGCATAATGAAATGGTTATTCAGATTGATGGAGAATGTGTTGTGTATGGTTCTATATAGAACCTTTTAAAGAAAGGGTTCTATATAGCACCATGGAGGGTTCTTCTATTGTAATACGGTTGATATCATAACAATAGAAGGACCGTTTTTGCTGCTATAGAGAACCATTTTCAAAAGGTTCTATATAGATACATTTACAGCACATTCTACATCAATCTGAAGAACCCTTTCAAGAAGCAGTGAACCCCATAATCATGCAGAGTGTTCTTCGGATTGATGGAGAATGTGCTGCAAATGGTTCTTTATAGAAGCTTCTGGAAAAAGTTCCTATATAGCACCAAAAAGGGCTCTTCCATTGTTACAGTATCAACCTTTTCCAACAGCTTCTATGTTGAACCATCTGCAGCACATTTTCCATAAATCTGAAGAGCCCTTTTAAAATGCAAAGAGTTCTTGGAGTGTTTATGGTTCTGCATAGAAGCATCTTCTTTACTAAAGAACCCTTGAAATACCATCTTTTTAAGAGTGTACAGTGAGATTTCCCAGTTTAAAGACCTGGAAAACCAAGTTCTGATGATCTTGAAGGTGAGATGAATTGCGGTCACTTTGGGACAGATAGATGAGGGCAAGTTTTATAAAGTTTTGACCCCCCCCCCCTTGGCTGGCTAAGGCAGAAGAAAGATAGCTAATGTCACTACTAGGCAGCCGAATATCACACCTGTATTCAGTAGCTTCTATATCAGTGGCTACATGATCAGGATTTCTTTATTGTAGTGAGAAGATTCTCAATGAATGTATTACATATTTGCGTGATGCATGCTGGGTATTGTAGTGAGAGAATACCGATGGATGAAAACACAACAAAGACACGAAATCCTGAGTTGTGTCAAACCAATAAGGTTGAAGGATGCAGTGTTGGACTACAGACTATCACATATCATGACAAATAACATAAAATGCTAGTTTTAGGGCAGAATGCCCCTTTAAACATACTAGCACATTTACAATACATTCTATTAGCAAAAGAAAAGAAAAATCAGTTGCTTATTTGTGTAACACAAATGCAGTAAAATACTACTTGTAAAGTAAAGGGAAAAGGCTTTTTGGCACTGAGTCTTGCATAATTATGCTACGACATTTTGGTATAGGTGCAGCAGCAGCACTCACCTTATGGTGTTACATTCGCCTTTGCCTTTGCCTTCAAAACTGTTCCACAGGGAGAGCAAAACTCAGTTCCTCTGTCCACACTGCTGAATGTGGTTGACACAGAGAGAACATTTGGGAACCGCTGCTTCAACCAGGGCCGCTTTGAAGATGCAAAAGACCGATACAAGCAGGTGCGTGCGCTAGTTTTATTTTTGTTCAGATCACTAATCTCTTTACGTGTCTCTTGATAACACACAGGGGAACGAAATAAGATTAGTGGCGAAATCTGATTCTCATTTTTTTCAAACGGCACAATCTGATCCTGACATGGTATCTTATGTCTGTGTATGAATTTGTTGTATGAACTTGTGCTGCAGGCCATGACACTCTTGCAGAACCGTGAGCTGATGGATAAAGAGGAGAAGGGACGCATCGATGAAGTAAAGTTGCCCTTCTTACTCAACCTTTCTCTCACCTACCTGCGCCTGGAGAGGCCTCAGAAAGCCCTGCAGTACGGCGAGAAAGCACTGAAGATCAGCCCAGACAACACCAAAGCTCTCTTCCGCTGTGGCCAGGTTGGGAAGTTGCTTGCATGACTGTGTAGCTGTTTATCATGTGCCAAAAACCAGAGCAGTCTTGCTGTCGATAATCAGAATTTTTCACTGGATCAAGTGTAGCAGGGTTGTTCTCGGTCAGCTGATTGAGTTTTGATTAAAGCTTTCACAATTCTGTAACCAGCACAGGCCTAATTTGTGTGTTTACCAAGATATCACTGTCCTATTTTTTGCATCATTTATAAAAACAGGCATTTTTCATGATGATGATAAACTGATCCAAATGTCTTTTAGAATTTAGATTGTTTTTTAGTATAGCCTCAATGCATTTCAAAATGAATAAAATAAGGTAAAGCCAATATAAGAGCAACGACTATAGCAGAATATCAATAATAGAGTGACGATGTATGATTGTCATACATGATGCTGTACATACAGGTTTATATTTTTTTTATTCAACTCACAGCTATATTGTTTGGTAATACTTTCTGATTCAGTGACTCCCAAATCCAAGACTGGTGAGGTCAAACCCCCTTGTATTTTAAATGACTTGTCATGGAATGGGATACAAGAACTACAGCTGCATTCATTTGTATTTGTCTTGTTGCTCTCTCTCGTTATCAGGCCTCTTTGGAAATGTATGACTACGAGAAGGCACAAGACTACCTCACAATGGCTCAGGCCAAGAAGCCATTTGATGCTGATATTAACAACTTGCTAAGAAAGCTGGCAGTGTAAGTTCTCCAGCAGTGCTTCAGTTGTGTGTGGATTGTTGTATTGACGTTACCCATGTAGGTGAAAAGCCTGAAGGTTTTGTGTGCTTGCAGTTGTTACAAGGACTGCCTGGACAAAGAAAAAGATATGTGCTCCAAGATGTTTCCTGGTATTAAGTCAGAGAACTGAAGGTAAGTATCAACGTTTCACATTCATGTTCCCTCTTTCCATAACTCATCATTTGTCACTAGAGGGCAGTGCAAGAGCAACTAAAAACACAATGCAAAATACTGAACTGACCAGACAACAGTAAGTAAGGCATATCCTTTGAAACTTAATCTAAACTTGAGCATCTTGTATACAGGCTGTTTACATAGTCTACATACTACTCTTAAAAAGTTTGGAAGTGATATAATAAAAATTGTAAATGTACAGGTGTATGGAAAGGTTTCAAATTACATGTTTTGTTGATTTTCTAAAAGAAAAAAAGTTAACACATCCTCTACAGGGAACACACTTAAATATGGCATTTTTCTGCAATATTGCTGAACATTTTCTATTTTTTGTTTAACATGCTGGAAAAATATAACATAAAACAACATGAAATGTGCCATAACTTTCATACATGCCACATGTCATGTTTTATTTTTTCGAAATGTTACATTCAGCATATAAGTAATAATTATGTATCAAAATGTGCAGAAGTAGAGGATGTGTTAATCTTATTTTCACATTTAAATAAAAATAGAAGCAAAATTTTGAAAAAAATCATTTGACCAGGGCCCAAACTTTTCCATACAACTGTAAATAACAAAAAAGTTTGTAATCACTGTTAGAACTCTATATTTGAAACATAAAACAATTTATTAGATTAATGTAAAAAGTAAATTAGACATACAGTTGTATGCAAACGTTCTGGCACCCATGGTCAGATTGGAGGTTTTGTTATGAAAATGAGTGAACACATCCTCTACAGAGATTTTAACTTATGATTGTATGTGCTTTTGCAGTAATTGGGTTATTATTACTTGCAGGTTTCAGCCATAAATATCCACTGCAGTAATATTTACTAGGACTGAACGATTTGGAGAAAATATCTAATTGCGATTTTTCGAGCCAACGCAATTTAAATGTGACCATTTTCTATAAATGAAAATACAGATACAGTTAATTCATGTTATCCACAAAAGCAGCCAACGTGAGAGAGACTGGAGAGTGGATACTAGGGGAAAGTAGCTAATTGCAATTTGAATGCAATTATTTGTATAAATTAAGGTCCTGTTTTTTTTTTCTTTTCATCAAGAACGCCTGCACGTCCATTTATTTCAGACTTGTGGCTTGAACACTGAATGTAGTATACCATGTGGTCAGCTCACAAGCTCTGCATGATAAGGTTAAATTTCCCACTTAAAGCTTAAGACAGTATTGCAGCTCTTGCGATTTCAAAGTCTTTCAAATTGTGATTTTGATATAAAGCCAAAGAATCGTTCAGCCCTAATATTCACTGTTGTCTTTACTCATCTGTTTGTAATTGACACTTTATTTTCAGCTTGGCCAAACAATGAACAAGCAACAGGACTTGAACAGAGAATGCCATCCAAAGAACACATAATCTGAGAGAGTCCACCAGAAATTGTCTTTATACAAAAATCCTCATGCAACTTATAAGGGAACTACACATAACTGCAGCTGTGTTTTTTTTTTTCTAGTTTATACTTTTGTTTTATTTCATACTGACCTCATACAGCTGGCAAATGTTATTAAACATTAATATGAATAATGCAAAAATGCAAAGAAACTGTTCATTAGGTATAGAAGTGATTGTATCCTTGAGTTCTTGTATTAACTTTTTGGAGTTTATAACTTTTATCCAAGTTATAATAATGTTACATTAGTTTGAGTTACAAGAATGACTGCAACCATTTTGTGTCAGCTATCAATACATGTTGTATTCTGGCTAAGTTTGTAAAATTGCCTTCTTTTTCATAGACACACTCACAGTCTCATTTTCAGTTTAGTGTGGTCTCCCTCTGTCTCCATTCTCTCTGGACTGCTGCATGCTTTCCTGGCAAGCTTCTCAGTTTAAGACCGTTAGTCACCATCCAGTGATGCAAATAATCTGTGAGCACAAGAAAAACACACTGCTCTGGGCATTCACTGTGGCAATGCATTATCACATCATAGAGCCAATTACCATCACTGTTTCAGAGGCTGTAAAGCAGGGTAATGCATTAGTAATTGCTTCAAGCTGACCCAGGGCTTTCTTGGTGTTCTTCAAATGATATGACTAGTTCTACAGAGCATGGAGGGTCTTGAGTGGTGGTAGGCCAGTTTGCAGCTTTAAAGGAGAAAGTTCATTCTATGCTACATCCAGATGCTTTTAACAGAATACATTGCATAGAAAAGCTAATGTAGCTAATAATGATAGAAAAGTAGTAGGAAGCAGTTAGCTTTAGCGAATGAGATCACAGTAACTGGACCTCATTAGCTTTCATTTATTGCTAGCCACATCATTGCTAGAACTATTCCATGCCAGGGTGTTTGCCTTGGCAAGTCTGGTTCCTCCTCTGACCTTACGATGGGTGAAAGACATCTTGAAGGAAATGTTTAATTTTGATTTGTTGAAAATGTTGAACTTTTGATTTAAACAACTCACCCTTTGCAACTTTTACCTTACTCTTTCACTTTACCCTTTGTCTTTACTCTTTTCAACCAAGACATGTTTGGTGTCTAGTTTGCTTCTTAGGTTTGCACAGGAGCTGCAAGTTAAATGTTGCTAACAAGTAAAGGAAGTTTATTTATCACCAATCATTGTGCAGCTGTATGCCAAAAATGAGACACTTAGCCTTAAACCATATCAAAGCTGCACTGTGTAAGATGTTTGTGTTCAAATTGAAAGCAGTAGCCTTACTGAGTCAGGAGAAAAAAACATAAATATGGTGCATGTGTTGCTGTGAGTTGCCCTGTGAAGCCTTAAATAATCATTTCGAAATCGGAAGCATTGAGGTGGATTTCGCTGGAGATTTTCAAGACCATGTGATATGTCTTTACATATTAACGCCACATAGGCCTCAACTGCAAAATCAACATTATACTGATGAAGATATGATGACAGTGCCAGATCATTCACTCACGTCCTCGGAAAACACGTCCTTCACCAGGTTTTGACTGAGTTCTCTTCTGAATACTCAACATGCTCGCAGTCATCAGATTCATCAGATTCAACCAACGTTAAATGACCATTACACCGAGAGGTCTCCAAATCCCCAAATCTTACATAGTGTAGCTTTATGTAATCTCAAACAGGCTTTCTTTATAATGTGGACACATACATATGACCACCTCCTTGTTTCTACGCTCATTGTCCATTTTATCAGCTCCACTTACTATATAGGTGAACTTTGTAGTTCTACAATTACACACACACTAACACACCACCACCACGTCAGTGTTACTGCAGTGCTGAACAGGGTAAAAGGGGGCTAACAAAGTATGCAGAGAAACAGATGGACTACAGTCTGTAATTGTAGAACTACAAAGTGCACCTATATAGTAAGTGGACCTGATAAAATGGACAATTGGTGGTCATAATGTTGTGCCTGATCGGTGTAGATATAGAATGTACAACAAACTATGATCTATAGACAAAAGTAAGTCATGTCAAAAAAATAGTAGTAGCTGCCATCTTGAAACTTGACTTTTGTCTGTACTGTCTATGTTTATAGCTAACAGAAGGATATATGGTGTCAGAAACCACATGAACAAGATTAATTAACTCTGATGCTCGTTGTTGGCTATAAGCTTTCATTATTTCTTAGCTTCATTAGCCTTGTAGCACCAGAGCAAGATGAAAGAAGCAGACACCAAACATGTCTTGACTAGTTGACTATACTGGGGTAAAAGGGGACATTGTGTAAATCTGAGTATTCTCTTGATTAATCCCAAAATGACAACAAACAAAGCAGCATTATGTCTCACCCGTGCTCGAGTGTGCAAGGGAGTGGGCTTATGAGTTTTACACCTCCATCTGCAAAGGGGTTTCCCAGTCGTTGATGTAGAGCTTATTACTCTGGAACCCTCTTCGCAAGTAGACTTGTCAAATCTCAGGAAAGGTAAGTCAAACAATAATTTATGTACAGGCATCTACCTTATTTAGAGCTGTCACGATTGGATATATTAAGAATTGGTTGCAGTTGAATTACTAACAGTTGAATGCAAAAATGTAAATATCCCTAGTCAAATGATGTTTGGACCTGAATTTTACATTTGAAATGTCCTGTAACTTCTGCCCAGGCCTCGATTTATGTTTTATTTTTTATTCCAATAAGAATTGTGTTGTAGAGCTGTGCTGTAGAGAATGTCTACTTATTTTCACTTAAAATTAACATGTAATTTGACAAGGGGCAGCCAAAGTTTTGCATGTGACTAGTATTTTGATGGTTAAGTTTGAGGTAAAAATCGACTTAAGTGAACAATAACAAGGCATATATACTATCACAACACTGAATGGAAGTCAATAGAAATATTTTTTTACCAAGTCATTTTGGAGCTTTTCTGTAGCTCTGTTCATCATGAAACGCTTGCACGTTGTAAAGTGCAGCTGATGTTTTGTTCTGACAGCAGCTCTACACACTTGGAAGAGAGCTTCCAATTCTGTTATATTAGCTAACAGACGCCTTGGTTGGCTAGCACGGCGCTGGGTGATGAAGGAGAGAGAACAAGACCAAATATGTTCTCTTGGACTCTTGGCCGAGGATGGCTGTGGCATTGCTGAGGGTCCGACTCATAATCTCCTAATGATGGTGCCAGTGCTTAGACAGTTATGCCACTCCCCACCCCCAGACAATGCTGACTAAATGCTGATGGTTGACTGAGAGGTTTAGTGAAGTAACTGTGGCTGCTCCTGTTTTATTGTAATTCTTCGGATGGTAGAAGATACTTGGAAATTTTTTCGTTCTTTTTTCATTCTTCTCAAGGCCATGTAGCCTAAGTCTGGGTCAGTTGATCCTTCTGTGTGCTAACACTGTTTTTGTTCCTTTCCACTGATGCACATCCACTTGACAGTTACACGAGCCAGACGTGTCGACATAATTATGTGTGTACAAAATGAAGTTTATTATTCTTGACCCATGCATGCACACTGTGGCTCAGTGGGGGCAGTCTGGCTGCAGTTAGTCAGAGGCCAGAAG